ATTGATAGATTTTTTTTTTTTTCATTTATTTATTTTTTATGTTTGCTTTAATTTTTCTGGACAATGCTGACAATCAAATGAAAAAAAATATTATTATTATTATTATTATTACTACTACTACAATGAGAAGTGCATTCTACTGTACAATAGCAATATATTTCTGTCACAATTTCTTCAAGTTAAACTTTTATTTTGACGTTGTCATGAAGACCTTTGAAAAACTTGCAGCGCTAATTCACGCAGAGATACACAGAACATGCATACTTTTTATTTCAAAGTCTTGTTGCACTTAATATGCACAGATCTCTTAACAGTCTGTTATTCTTAATTTATAATGTTTCATTTATATAACATTTTTATTAATTGCACAGTACTTTGGTACAACATTTGTTGTTTTTAAAGTGCTTTATAAATACACTTACATTTATTTTATTGTATTGTTTGAACGCACGGTTCAGACCCAAATAGGACAATGGGACAATCAAACTCTGTTTCGGACCAAGCAGTTGAACTACAGGTAAAAACAGCTTCACATGACCAACACAACACAAGACCACCAGCTGATCTCAGGTCAGCGTTTTGGGCCGCTGGAGGGTGTAATCCTGCAGTCAGTCTCTCTAACTGATCAGAATCAAAGACGTCACACCATCTATCCTCCTGCCAGGAATTGTCTTCATCCTCTGCTTTCACTCATCAGCACTCCTCCTTCTGCTGGATGGATTGCTTGCGATGACTAAACCCGGCCTGTTCAACCTTAACATTTCATCTCTCCTCTTTTATTAGATTCCTGTCACCTAAACTCTGACTCACAAGCCATGACTCGGACAGACGGCTACAGGTCACTGCCAGTCACACAGACTGTTAGTATCTCGTCTTCATCTCCCTCTGCTCTTGTAACCCTGAAATCGTAGTGCCATGGAAGCTTAACTAGATTTGACCAGATCAACAAGCCAATCAGTTATGTATTCAGACTCTGACCGCAGGCTGCGAGGACAACATCACTGTAGAGCCCAGACTGAACTGCAATTTCCCAGCACTGGGAAATTCGATTTCTAAATTGATCTCAGGCATAAGAATGGTACATTCACATCTAAATGATTGGAAGCATCTCGTAAGATTGGACAAGGTCCATTAGGCCAAAAGAAATAGTGAAAATTAAGGGGGGGGGGGAATCCTTCTATGCACAACACACTGTCAGGTTGCGTAGAAAAACACATAATGCCAAGAAATTAACTGTATTACTCACATCAATAAACTCATGTACCCTACTGGTCAAAAGAATAATTTAGATTTTTTAATGCTTTTGAAATAAGTCGCTTCTGCTCACCAGGCTGTATTTATTTGATTAAAATACAAGGGAAAAGTAGTAAAAACAAAGTAATAAAAGTAATTAAAAAGGTAATATTGTAAACTAAACTGAAATAATTATGTTCTATTTAAATATATTTTAAAATGCAATTAATTCCTGTGATGGCAAAGCTGTAGATTCATTTTTTTAATTTAATTTTTAATTGTATTATTATTTTATT